CCACACCTCCCCGCTTATTCTCCCAACCTCTCAACTTGCCTAACAAGTGCATCACTCGGTCTTCTATGCATATTGCCAAACCATTGCAATTAAGATTCACATCTTAATTTCGATTGGTGTTACTCCCATCTTTTATGTGATTGTCTCATTCCTCAAATGTTCTTTTCTCCTCTAGAGATACAGATTTTGCACATACAAAAAACAATGAAAAGGAATGTATAGGAAATGTTTATCTCAATTTTGTAGTGTTAAAACCCAAAGTCGTTTCATCCCATCATTCTGAGTTGTATGAATATTCAAGTGTAATGTTTTGACTTTTGACGCTTGTTTTAGGTTATATAAGTTGAATACTTGTTATTTGGGTATTGGGACATTTATTTGGGATTTAAGCTCCAAACTAAATCAAACATGTTTAAGTTTTAATTTTCATTTTATATAATTTTGCTGTTTTTCTTATCCTGTTTGTGTCATATTTTTTCAAATATGTGTCATGTCTCATTGTCCAATTATATCAGGTTCTTGTGTCCCCATCCTTATCTGTGCTTTCTAATGCTCCAGCCATAGAGGAAATGTAGACGGATGAGTGGAGCAATATACCAACCTAAACTAAATTCATACAGAGTACATGTTAGTATGCTACACATAATAGCAAAACACATGGAAAGTCACATTATGTTTTTCGTAGGGATAGCGTTTTAATGTTTGGAGTTGTTCTGTTTGGTTTGTATGTAATACATAATGGTCTCTGCTGAAGGTATTATTGACACTAGACTGCTCATGCACAACCCATTAAATTACAATTTGGTTGTTTATACAAGTATGATATTACACTTGCATATTGTAATCAAAAGCTAATGGAATTCAAAATTTTCTTTTCTCAACGTAAGGGTCTGTATGTGTAGGTTGTGGTTGCAACCGGTCCTGTAAAACACGAAGATTTTGTTGAGCAAGTTAAGAAGATGTTCACAAAGCTGTCAACTGACCCAACCACCGCTTCACAGTTAGTTGCTAAAAAGCCTGCTAGGTTTACGGGTTCAGAGGTATATGCTGTTACTCCTATCTTTGAGCACGTCTTTTACTTTTTACTCTGACGAAGGACTTTTTAATATTCGTGTTATGTGAAATTCAGGTGAGAATGATTAATGATGACATTCCTCTTGCACAATTCGTTGTTGCATTTGAAGGAGCATCCTGGACAGATCCAGACTCAATTGCTCTAATGGTTATACAAACATTATTGGGGTCTTGGAATAAGAGTGCCGGTGGTGGAAAGCACATGGGGTTAGTATGGTCATCATATATGATTATTTAGTTAGTTAAATTGATTTTTTGAGTTATTATTTACATGATATATTCTGGTCGGTCCAAATTGCAAAAGTTCCAAGCTAGTACAGAGGATTAGCATAAATGAGATTGCAGAAAGCATGATGGCATTCAATACAAACTACAGAGACACTGGTCTTTTTGGTGTGCTTGCTGTTGCCAAGGTATGCCGGAGCTTTTTTCTTTTCATCTTGTTTGGTCAGATCAGAATTAACATTTGATTATCTAGTTACCTTTAAGGATCAGCTAATAAAAACTATTTATTGACCACAGCCTGATTGCTTGGATGACCTGGCCTATTCAATGATGTATGAAATTAGTTCGTTATGCTATCAAGTTTCGGATGAAGATGTGACTCGTGCTCGTAATCAGGTGTGTTTACATCTGATTAGTGCATTTATATATTGGTTTACATCTTTTCTTTCAGTTAATTGTTTTGACATTTTTGTTACCCTTTCATTGCTTTTCAAGTTGAAATCTTCACTGCTGCTTCACATGGATGGAACAAGCCCTGTTGCTGAAGATATAGGCCGTCAGGTAAAAGCTTGACAATTAGCATATTAATGGAGTTAATTACAAGGGGCAAGTGGAGTGGTCAGATAATATTATCCAACTGGCTAAGCCAGCTAGGTTGTCCGAACTTGTTTGTGAAGATTAAGTGAGGAACGAAGTTGGCTTGTGGAACATCTGTAGTTGGACTAAATATATGGTTTTAATGCATTAGGAAGTTAACTATTACAATGAGAAGTTGTTGGGTAGTCGACTGGGCACTCTGGTTCTTTCTCTTTAGGATGGCAGAATGAGGAACCCTTTCAAGTTTCAACACTAGTCAAGTGGTTTATAAATGGCCAAGTGGCAGTGACTCTTTATGTGCCATGTCATATCAGTTCTCTGCTTAGCTGTCCGTTTGGTCTGGAATATACCACTTCACATTACAGATTAATTAATAGCTGCTGAAAAGGCTTTGTTTTTTGTTTTGCTTTGTAGCTTCTCACATATGGAAGAAGGATCCCATTTGCTGAACTGTTTGCTAGGATTGACGCAGTAGATGCCAGCACTGTCAAGCGTGTTGCAAACCGATTTATTTTCGACCGGGTATGTTAACTTCTATAACCAGGCCAAACATATAGTAGCTTCATGATCTAATCTCGTTTCCCCACATTTTGAATTTAGGATGTCGCCATCTCAGCAGTGGGTCCCATCCAAAATTTACCCGATTACAATTGGTTCAGACGCAGAACCTACATGCTCCGATACTAGGTTCTCATTGTGTGGAGTTTAGTACCTCTAATAAAACACCATTTTTGTGTTATCAGAAAGATCACAAGACATTTTTTCTTTAAATGCCAGGGGGCCATCCCACCCAAAGACTCTTGGCACATTGTTTTTTTTTATTATATATATTTTAGTTTTTGCTTCACCCATGCTGTAATGTCGTTGGTTTTTTGTTAGCCATAACCTTAATAACTTAATACTTCCCAAAGAGACTCCCAATGTTAAATGATTTATGTGTCATACAAGAAAACCATCTGGGCATCTGGTAGTCAATGTTTCATGTTTCGAATATGTTTCAAGTTTCAAATATCATTCTTAATTCATTTTTGTTTACTGTGATGGATGCCTAATTAGATGGAGCCGCATAACTGCAAGTCTGCAATATTAACTCTCAGTCTTTCTTAAATTAACTGGGGACTCCACGTAGGCAATTTATGGGGTTCATGGGGGTTTTCTTTCTGTCTGCAGTCAAATCCTTCAGATACTTGTTAATGGTGGTCATGTTATTACTTGTGCTTTTATAACGTAGGAAATAAACTAGTTGATTTCTGGATTTAAAGACCAAGAAACTGAGCATGCCAGGTGCTCATTGAATATTTGAAAAAAGGGAGAAGTGGTCCTGGTCTTCTGACTACGAACATGCTGGTTCCAACTTCCAAGTAGTCATGGACCGGCTCTGGGCTGACCGGCCCGTGGCCCGGCCAGAGACCGGTCCGGGTAGGCCTGGCTTGGGGGTTATACGCGTCGGGCTCGGGTCACCCAAAACAGGAATCGGCCGGGCTCAGTTTGGGCCTATTTTTTTTATCCATTTTTTTTTGCTTTCCTGGGTTGGGCTGGGTGTTTGGGGAGGGGGGTGGGGGTGGGTTGGGGGTTGAGTAGAAAAGCAAAAAAAAATGAAGATGCCCGGGGAGTGGGGACCGAACCGGCCCAGGACCGATCCATGACTACTTCCAAGTCCTGTCACCAGCCTCCTTGACGAGTTGACGGAGATGGACTGGGATGGGACTATCCGGCCCACCCCATCCTGGCCCCGTTGACCGGGACTGGGACCAAGCCCGGGGCCCGACCCGGATGAAGAAGTAGGCGGTATCAGGATCCTATTTTGGTGGACTGGCCCAGTTCTATCTGGGCATGGTTTAGGCCCAATGGTCACACCCCCCACCCCCCACCCTCCACCCCGGTCTGGCTGCTAGGTGGAGGGGATGGTTCGAATTATTTAAAAATAATAATAAAAAGTAAAACAGACCTGACCTGGGCCTGGACCGAGACCCGGCCGGGTAGCCCAGTACTGTTACAAACTGGGCCGATAATGAGCTTGACAATCTTTGACCCGTCGCGTCCCATCCCAGTCCACCCCCTACGGCCCTACCCCTTGAACCCAGAATTTCCGAATAAGGTCATCCATACTGGTAACAAAATTGGGATGGTCTAGGGAACTGGCTGGTTGCCTGGTTGGGACAGTTCCATAATAAAGTTGTGGACTTGTGTGATTGCCCAGTGAAAGTGAAAGCGCGTGAAAGTTTGTTTAATCGATCCTTAATCACGCACGCTAGTGAACAGCTCAGTCGTTTGAATTGTTTGTTTGATTAAATAAGTGCCAATGAAACAATTATTTTATAAAAATTTGTGTGCAACTTGGTTGATACTTAAACTCATTTAACATTTACGACTGCTTCATTCTATGCATGGACCTGGGCCGGGTCGGGCCTGGGCTGGGCCTATGCTCGGTCAAGCTTTAGGAGTTTGGAGGTAGGCCCGGAACCGGCCTGGTATCCCCCGGGTCCGGGTCGGGCCAATTACTATTTTTTTTCCTTTTTCTAATTAACATCCCGACCCCCCCCTCACCCCCATCCCTAAACTATGCCAAATGGCCCAAAATACCCCGCCCAACCCGGGGAATTAAAAAAATGAAAAAAAAAAGCCCGGAACCGGGCCGATTCATCTTTTGGGGTGACCCGAGCCCACACCGGAAACCCCCCGGGCCGGTTCCAAACAGTGCCGGGTCCGGCCAGTTCCGGGTCGGGCCACCCGGCCCGAGTCCATCCATACTTTTAATTGCTCGGTTGTCTATGACAGCACTTGCACAAGATCTGAATTTGTTTGTATAGGATATGGAGGTTTCCCATCATGCCGTAATATAAGAATGACCGCTCTTCAACAAAAATCAGAACCAAACATTCCTGTCACCATGAATTAAGAACCGGTAAAAACAGAACTTTAATACTTGAGCAGTCATGAGTCAAAGTTTATGCTACATGGGTTTACCGAAAGCACCACAAAGATGCTTTTGATCATACTTTCCCTGTTTCCCGTACTCATGACTGCTCAAGTATTGAAGATTTGAAGTTCTTTCTTCTGAAAGGGTAGTACTTGCAACTTACAAGTATTTTGGATGATGAACCCATAAATACAATCATAAATACCATGTATCCGAAGGGTGTAATACTTCCAGTTTCATCACTGAAACAGCCTTTATTAGAGAACTACTAGAGGTACATAATTGATATCAATCATCAATCATATGTTAGAATCATTGGAAGGAGCACTTCAAATTGCAGCTTGTACAACACGACTATGGCTAATAATTTTTTAAAAAAACACATGCTTATTCTTTTAAAAAAAACATAAGCATGCCTATACAAAGAAAAGAACATGCGTGATTTCATTTCTATGATTAAATTTCCTAACAGGACAATGTACAATATATAGATTCACTAATAGTTGATGCCCCCAAAAAACAAAAAAAACCCAGCCGAAGGGAACTTGCACCAAGGTGCATCTCCAAAACACGGCTAGTTTGAATATGTACCTCCAGACACCATGACTTCTAAGGTCGCAGGGAATCAGAGCACATAGTAATGGGACTTGTAAGTTTACCTTGTGCAGGGCACAGACAAAAGAAACCCGTGAGCAAAAGCAGCAAATCCTTGCAAAGAGGAGATGTATCTCTCTTATTTTCGTTATCTCACCTCCGTTTTTTGTCTACTTTGTTGCTTTCTGTGCTTCCTAACTGCTATATACAATACTGTCAGTTTTTACCTGCAAGCATTTACAACTGCAACCTCTGCCTAGTCATGATATCCGTTTTTCTGGTGATGCTATTCTTCCTACGGGCCCCGCTGCCCATCCAGTCATCGTCATCTTCGTTATCAGAGTCATCCCCGTCGCCTATTTGTCTGGATCTTCCAGGTCGTTTTCTTGGAGTCGAACGAGAAGGTCGTTTCCTTTTTATATTTGCTGTGTAGATTGCATAGTCAAGAGTGTCTTCCTTCATTGCATTCTTGAAGTCCTACCAATAATAAAAGGGAGAGAGGGTGAGGTGGAGGCATCACATAGATAAGCAAGCACTGGTTGCAACATAGGAGATAGATGTATATCGGAGAGGCATGAAATCATACTTGGTAACGCCTGGTGAACTCTTCATATGTATTTGGGGGATCAATAATTATGTCACTCACATTGAATTGAATACTCTGCCTTGATAGAGTTTCCCCTGGTTTTGGAGGTTCATTGGGAGAATATTCCTGGCCAAACAAACAAAGAAACACATTGACGATGAAATTTCGAAGAAAAAACAAAACGTGAGTCATAAAGGGAACCAGACCTGGCAACGAGCATCATTCAGGCCATAAATAATCTTTAGGTGCCTCTTTAGCCTAAGCAGCAGTTGTAGTGCGCCAGCTTGTAGAAAGTCCACCTGTGTCATTTGTGTTCTCCAAAAATTAATAATTCACGGTTATTTTGAAATTCAATGTTAATGCTTACTCCAGTCAATCCCCCATATGATAAAATACCATGAAGAAATGCAGTTCACTATCAAGTCTTTGTATGAATATCAGATTCAGAGCAAACCTTCCCCTCCAAAACTATCCACCCATTGGCTTGTTTGATTAGGAGGGACTGAGGGAGATTTCGAAGGGGATGGGATTTCTACGTTTAGATTGTGTTGCAAATAGTGAATTTAAAACTACGAAGGAATACACGATCTAACCATACAATTATTCTTTAGTCTAAAACTAACAAATAGAGATAAATTAGCAAAGTAAAAAATAAACCCCCCTCCAAAATCCCTCCAAAATCCCTGCACCAAACAAGCCCAAGGGCCCTAATGGATGGGTTAAACATGATCCTCTGATTGAATTCAACTAGATCTCTCTCTGCCTAGTAGTTCTAAGTTTTTCAGTGGTACTGGTAGCTCTTACATGCTGGCAATTCTTTGAGTCACGGAAATGAAATGCAAATGATTGGAAAGGGGTGAGGGAAATTCAGGAAGTTTTCCTTCTGATTTTAATAGCATAGTAAAGCTCACTTTTATAATAGGAATTACATGCATATGAACGACTAAAGGGGAATCCTAGAAAATGACTTACTAAAATAGATAAGCTAATTACGGTATTAAAATCACATCAAATTAATCAAACAATGAAATCAATGAGCTATCACTCTCTTCAATCTTCTACTTAATCTTTTATTTCAACCATAGGCTCCCGGTCCAAACTTTTTTTTATGGGAAGGCACTGGTGGAATGGGCTATTTATTGTACTATTTAGCATTTGATATGAACTTTTAATACATATTTATAATCATGATTCCTTAATGAATGACCTTCCTTATAGATCTCCAAAATACCTGAATTTGCTGCAAATCAACACTTGATAAGCCATGTAAACTTCTCAAGGAGGTCTCATTTAAATCCAATGGCACATGATCGTTACATCCTTGACCAGCTTTTAATTCCTCCTGCATAACTCTACCTTCAAAACCTCCTCCAGAATGATACATGACGGACTGAGACTGAGTTGCCACTCTCTGAATGCTCTCAATTCCATTCAAGTTAACTTCTCCTCCTTGAAGAAAATGAAGAAAGCCCTTCAGATTTGCCTCAACATTTCCAGCTCTCACTTGGATAACACGGTTTATGGTATAGATCAAATAGAGTGGCTCATCAGGCAACATGAACGGTAGCAAAGCAAGGATTTCAGTGCAGTATCTGCAATTAAAAAAATACCAGGACAAATTGAACATCATTTATTTCATTACGGACAAATCACTTAAGACAAATCATTACGGACATGGTTGGATTACAGAAAATGCTAGGAAAAGGAAACAAAATGCTAGGAGATGTTGCTTTCTTATGTCCATTCTTACAATAGATGCAAAAACAAAACGAAACATGATTATTTATAGCTTATATTTACATATATTTAGATTCCTTAGCCTTTAGATGATAGGCATGGAAAAACAAAATGAGTACCTACAAATACCTAAACTAAATTTATTGAGTATTATCCTGCCTTTTATTTACCATTACATTTTCTTTTTATGTTCTCCATATTATTTCTCCCTAGTACTCTGTAGGATACAAACAGACTGCCTGTATTCATCTAATGAGTTAAGCCACGACTTACATCAGAAAAGGGATAACCACACCATCCCAGCTTGGCGTATCGAATTTGCGTACAACTGAAGCCATGAACTTGTTTCTCGAAACTCGGTTCCCACGGATGAGTTTGTAAATTCGTGAAACACCGATCCTTGCAAAGGTAAAAGAGCCAGTATCTGAATTTGGTAATACATTTACAGGTTCTTTAAGACGGGATCTGGCAAATTGACGGTCTGATGCACCTCCACCCATGGCTTGCATGAACTGGAAAGACATTCGCAGCCCATCTCCGAGGCGGTTCTCAAAAAAGGATGGATATCTGCAACCAGGCTAATGCTGATTAATATGTAAGCATCAATGTTAGAAGGCAAAACATTACAGGACAATAAGCACACTTTTCGTTCATGTTCATCAATAAATGATGTGCCAGGTTTGAATTCTGCTCTTCTGGATCTGTCTCTAGTGCTATGAGGTATGGGACACAAGTAATGGGATGGACTAGGCCTTGACGCAGCACAATCTCCATAATCTGAAAAAAACGGAAGCTAACACAATAAGAATTCAATGAGTCTTCAGCAATAAGGAACTATAAATTGTGGCCTTCAAGTGCAAGACTTGTACACATTTTGCACATAGAACTTGGGATTCAAAACGCAAAGCGGTCAAAATCAAGACATTTACCTTAAGAGCAGACTGGCGTACTTCTTTGTTTACATCTAAAGACCTTCCTAAGATTTTGTCCCAAAAAAACTGAACTATGCCTCCACAGATGTTGGTATCACCTGCACCAGCAGCTACAGGTACACAATGGCTACTGTCTGTTGATTTATTAACTTCACTTTCACCAGTTTTATCTTCTCCCATCTGGCTTTCCGCATCCAGAAGATATTCGTACATGTTTTGCAATGATTGTATCTGTTTTTTCAAGAGTGAGTATATGCACTACTCAACAAATTATGAAATAAGCACTAACATTATTTACCTTGACATGTGTATCAGTGCTAGAACAAAGTGTTTCCTCCAAAATTTTACACACTTCTTCTCTCAGCATAAAGTCAGGCCGGGCAATTAGAACATATCCAAGTGCCTGAAAGAAACTATAGTCACAGAAGTGACATGCACACCACAATGTAGAAAAGGTGTTGTACAGAAGAACAGAACTCACCTGTAAAGATCTAACCTTGATCCCATAATCGTCTGACTGAAAATATTTTTTAAACACATCAAGGGTTCTTGTTAATTTCTTGTCGCTGGCCTGTTGGGATGCACTCAATAAAGAGCTACCATAGCGTATTAGCAAACCCAGACAGAAGAGAGATCTGCCAACTTGCTGAAAGTCCATACAACAACAAATAGATTTTGTAATATGCAACAATAGGGCATATCATGAGAGAAACGTTTAGCCATGAGAGATATAATTATTACAACTAGGTGCCACACATCCCATGGTGCTGCAAAAGAGACTTGATGTCGGCTCTTTGTTTTTTAGAAGGATCAAAGTTTATTCATCTGAGTAGCTAAGAACAAACCTGCTTATTATCAAGACAAAAACCAAGGCTATCCAATCTCCTGTAGAATATCTGGAGAAGGTATTCAACAACACTTGCACCTTTTCCTGCTACTTTACTTACAGAGCAGAGACACCTGTCCAAGTGTCCATTGTCAATAAGATGCTTGTTAAGACACACTGATGTTAAAACATTGCAAGTAGCAAATAGTAGTTTACAAATATAATAAGACAGCAAGAAAACTCCCTAAATAGGATGAAAACACCAAATTTTCTCAAATAGGACGCCCAATGTTTTTTCCCAAAACAATATCAATTCACTCTTAAGTCCTAATAGAAGAAATTTTAACTGTTTAATCTTTTATTAGCGCTACGAAAGTCTTATTTTGAGAAGAGAACATAGTTGGTCCTATTTGAGAAGTTGTTCCATGTTTTAATGCTATCATGGGCAATTTTGTTAAGCTAAACTTTATTCAGGGATAATAGAAGGATTAAAGGAGAAAGCACATTACTTGATGCAAGCATGGACAACAGTCAAAAAAGAATGCCTGACAATCATTTGTTTCAGATCTTGTTCAAGTTCATTAGTGACATTTTGAGGAAGCTTCCGGAGAAGAGGCAAAACACAATCAATTACAAATACCATACTCTCCAGAAGACGGGCAGCTACTCGGTTTTCAGCCTGGATGCAAGTAAGTTTGAGAAAGGCGAAATATGATTCATAATTCAACATCACACTTTTACAGTCTACAACTATGACGCACAGAATCTTACCGCAGCTAACCTTTCCCTGTTTTGAAAACTTGAAAGTGCCATTTCGGGGAGTGTCCGTAATTCAGAATAAGTGGGAAACCCATTTCCCTAAATAATTAGCATTTTGGAAACTTTGGGTTTTCATTTTTTTCCTTTTATGGGATTCCTAGCTGGAAAATAGTGACTTTTTAAAATTTCCTAGCACATTGTAATACTCCATAAGACCATAACATTCCATCATTTCCAATGAAGCCAAAGACTTGCTATTTTTTTTGGCTTGGGAATATGATGGAATAAAGCAATTCTCAACACGAAGAAGCAGTCAGTCCATGCAAATCTCAACATGATTTTCGTCATGGGTCATCCGGAACCAGTCTCTATGCTTTAGTACAGGAGTAAGACTATGCACATCCGACGCTCCTTACCCCTTACGGCACTGGGGTATTGTTGTTGTATTGTAATATTCCATAACACAACATTGCTAGAAATATATTGCACTGTTGCATATTATGTTCAATTATGTAGTGGGGAGTAATATACAATAATTTTTAAATTTGAACATGTATTTATTATGGGGTCAAGTTATGTGAAAAAATGTGCATATTTATATACATATAAATGAAAAAACATGTGTACATATATGACAAAATATTTATAAATAGCTCGCGGCACAGACAACTAACGCCAAACATTAAATAGAGCATTTTAATACACAAAAACTAATAAAACAAGTTAACAAACTCAAAAAAAGTGCAGGATGGTGTCACTGATTATATAGAGCATAGAAAATAGTGAATCTAATGATCTAATCAAACCCCAATTTTTGCAATACGGAATGAATATGCAAAGGAAACTCCTTTTGGCAGAAAAAACTGAATTCATTCACTACAGTTTTTGAAATGACATCATCAAGATTTTTCTTGTAAACTTTAAATATACATTAAATACACCTTAAAGGTTCAAATTACAGTTTTTTCAAATGCTATTGTCTCAATCTTGCAACCCCAAGATAGGATTGTACCTATTTAAACTTTCTGCTCAGTTAATCCATGTTCTGGTAGTGTCAAATCTCTAAAACTCTTTATTTACACAAATTATCGGAAATCATGCACCAATATATCAAAAATCATTTGTAAATACAGAAGACATATCTTCTTTGTCAGCCAAAAAGATTTCACTGGAAATATAACTGCAAAATAAAAGAGAAAACAAAATGCAACAAACCTGACTCTTTAAATAGGGTTGCAATGTGATCACAAATCTAGAAGGATCTGAAGATGGTGCACAGAGAGTGGGGTCCACCTCACAAAAGACATGTAGCAGCAACATATATGGAAGCATCCGTGCCTCTCCTCCATAATTCATTTCTGCCACCTGAACATCAGGTTATTGATAAGCCATCACATGCATCAAGATCAGAAAAACATGAAATCAACAAACAGCACTCGATGAAATGAACCTGTAGTATTTTCTCTAACAAGCACTTGCACATTAGCTCACAACGTCTGCGAACTGAAGCAAGTGATGCAGGGTTGATACCGGCTGCTTTAGCTGACTGAGGAAAGAAATCAAGGGCTAGATTACGTTTAATCACAGTTACAAGAGGTTGATGATCTGGCATCCTTCTCATCATGTCAACGATCTGCTCTGTTTTCTTAGACACCTCAATTGGAACAGAACTCCCATCTCCAAAATACTGACTGTGTGAACCAGAAGATTCATCAAACCAGAAGTCATAAAATGTCTTGCAAACAAGATCCTGTGCATAGAAGGGTCATGGCATAAAAGATTTACCCAAGGCATATGGTTATTGAATCCATCCACGATAATTACCTGGACACTAGACTCATCATCATTAACACGTGAAATTATCTCAATGCATGCATTAGAAAATTCTGTGAAGTTAGAATTTGAGCAGCACATGTCTCGTATGATTTTAATAGCTCGTTTCCGCACACTTACTCCATTATCCTTTACTTTCTCTGCAACCTTCACAAAGTACTACACAGAAATAGAACATAGAAGTAAACTGTTGTATTTGGTGAGATGAAGCAACCAATTAAAATGGAAGCACATATTATCAATTTCAATACCTTTAAGCCAACATCGGGGTGTGAAGCAATGTATCTGCCAACCAATTCCAATGCTGCCTCTCTTACGGATATAGCAGAGTCACAAAACCTCTGTTCGACAGCTTTCTGGACATGCTCATCACACAGAACCTCTGGATCAGCCTCTACGATTATGCTGACCTACTCTCACGATAAACAAGGCATGCAAAAAAAGATAAACTACAAGATTAGAAAAGAATTTTAAAAAATCAATCAATGATAGTGCGGACCCACTCACTGCTCGCAATGCCTTGGCACGGATCACAGGTGAGTTCTCTCGTAAGCTGACCTGAAAAAAGGTACAAAAATTACAGACGTTCTCCATTGGAAGAATGAGATCAGAGTAACAATTCACAAACCAGGAGAATATGAAGAATCTTCTTAAATCCCCTAGAGAAGGAACACTTTTGTGCCAGTGCTAAAGTTATCTTCTTAACTGATTCCCTCGTTAGAGATGACAAAGAATATCCAGAATCACGCAAGATTGCTTTTGATTTCAACCTAGAGAGATAGAAGTAAAACTTCTCTTGAGCACCAGGGTCATCTTTGTACCACCGACAAAGATAAAACCTACAAGATCATTACATTGTATTTTGTTAGAGCAAAAGTATGACAAAATAGAACCATGTTCAGAATGCACTTATCAAGTTCATGGAGTCACAGACCAACGGGTAAAAAGATGTGAATCATCTCCAGACTCAACATCTTCAAGATAAGTCAGGAGAAGCTGCTGAATGATCTCCAAAATTGTAATTGAATTGTTAGCTTGGGAAGGCTTTTCACGCTCATGCTTACTTTTGCTACTATCCATGCCCTGGGACTCACAGTGTAATTTCAACGCAAGCAATTGGTTGTTGGAGGCACACATCTGACAATGAAAGTTGCGGTGTGGAAGTTCATGCCTTCCACCTCCTATACAATCAGCATGGAATACTCTCTCACAACCATGGCATACAGCCAGATATTTTTCATTCCTGGTGTCTAGACAAACAGAACATGCACCCTGGGGAAAGCTGTGATCATTAATGTCCCCAGAAATCAATCCCTTCACTATCCAAAACGTTTCCTTCTGAACAAACACTGCATCTTGCTTCATCCTTGCTGCAATGGTACCAACAAGATCAATGCCTATAGAACGAATGGAGACATCTTTGGATTTCAGCCCAATATTGTGAAGAAGTAAAACAACAAGAACCTGCAAATAGTTCTTTCTCTTTAATATACAGATAATCAGACTAAGTAAGAACTTAGTGCATAACGTTATAAACAAACCTCCAGAAGAAGAGCAGAGGCGGGGTACTCTGGTAGATTAAAAGTGATTAGAAGATCCATGACTATATTCTCAATCACCATCTTCAAGTCAGATGCTTCATGACTGTTTGAATTAGCCAGCCGCTCAAGAGCTCTACTCCAGAAAAGAGAGCACACGTCTTTAGCCAATTCATAGCAGTCTCTAGGGCAACTAGCATCAAGTGAGACTTCTAAGGAAATATTGGACAATGATTGCATTAAAACATCTGGAAGGTTCGAGCCAGTGTGAACTAGCTGTAGCAACAAAGCAGTAATTATCTGAATCTGCCTATTTTCTTCATCAGGGAGGTGATAAGTTCTAGGTATGCGCTTAGAGGATGGAAGCTTCAGAAGAACTTGGAGTACTTCATCCATCATGTATACACGATGTTTTGTGTACATGTAAAATATCTGGATGCCCAGACATGTAGACTCCATAAAATTAGTAACACAAAAGTTTTGAATATCATTTAGAAAGGAAATACTAGAAAACTAGTATAGTACCCTTACCCCACTTATCAAACTGATTGCTTTCAATTGCAAAAGATGTATATTTTCAACTGTGAGTGTAGTGAAGCATGTTTTCACGAGTTGAAGAATGCAACTATCTGACAAGCGCTCTACTGAACATAAATCCTTGAGAAATCCAAGAATGACACAAAGTTTTTGAAGTATACTATTCAGAGCAGAAGACACCCTGAGAAACATAACATAGCACACACTGAGATTAGTTTGGGAATAAATTACTCCTGGCTGAAAACAAAGAAATCAATTCTAACCATACTTGTTTGATGCTGACTTTCTTAATTTCACAGTTCTTGCAGACCTCTTCTTCTTACTTGCTGAACCAAATTCTTCATTAACCTCATCATCATCTTCATCTACAGAAGTTACAACAAAAAGTGAGCATACAATATTAAAGATAAAGTTAAAAATCTCTTTACCATCTTCTCCTACAAAATTTACAACAAAGAGATAGAAGGTAATATTAGAAATATAAGCTTTTGCATTATTATTATAACTTAAAAGCATAATGACAGCGGCAGAAGAAATGAAGAAGCATATTAGAACAAGAAAGTGAAGAACATGAAGTACCCAGAGGTATTCCCTAGCACAGTAACTTGCCCAATAGCCTAGGAAAAACTCAAATCAGCCCCAAATATTACATAACCCTAGATACTATCTATGCTAAAGAAAGCCCTTATTAAATAAGGTAGATAGTAAATTGATTGAAGAACTATAGGCGTGAAACTTAAGTCTTTGATTTGCATAATAAGTTAGCAGGCTGGCTAAATTAAAACTGAGCATGGCACGCGGCGGACATTTTGTGGGGACTGGCTTTACTGTGGGAATAAAAAAATCTTTTTGGTAATGTCATGTATAGCAGCGTACTAATGCTGACTCTATTAAGATGCTTCAGCATCAATCAAAGTATTATTCCAAAAAACTAGTAAAGTTATGTGACTACACAAATATCATGAGTAAACAAACAATGCAGTATAAATTAATGCCTTTTCCACACCAAGCCTACTTCATAGGCCTAAAAATGATTAGAACAAGTGATGCAGATATCAAGAAAGTAAAAGTAAAACTAAAATTTTACCATGAAATTTGATGATTAAAATTCATGTTAATTGACCCCAAAATCTTTTAGGACTAAGGCTTGGATGTTATTGTATGAAGAAACAGAAAGGTGGACAATTAAGAAAAGGCATATGAGAGCTACAAAATTCCCAAGAGAGAAAAAATTGCATCAGGAGCCTCAATAGAAAACATATCTATCATGAGCGGCTCTATTTGATCCAACAAATCCAACAAGAACATGCAAAAAACATTTTCCAAAACGTCGGTAAGGGACTCAAGCTGTGTGCACGCACCCACATGCATACATCAATTGGAGAATCTCAACCACTAGGTATGAACTAGTAAATATAAAGGAACCTGCAGTAATACCTTCAAGATTCCCATTCTCCATTGGTCTATGCAGTGCACGGTACACAGGATCAGAAGCCAGCATCACATCTATGACTTGATGCCTCGAAAATTCCAAGATTCTCTCAATGATCTGAATGTGGAAAGTGAGGGTCATTGAATTTTTTTATCTAATAGAAACTTATATTAATAACAGAAGAATATGACAAAGCTGAGATATTTATGTCTGATTAGAGTTTCTATGAGACAGTTTTAAAGGTCATGTCAAGAGTCCCATGAGTTATCAAAAGAGTGCACCTCTTCTTTATAGAGCTGCTTAGGCATTCCATTGTAAGCCATAATTGCCAAAGATGCATGAACGGACTCCAATGCACCATAAATAGATGAAAGGGACTCAGAATCTGTCTGTAACAAGGAGAAATTAATGAATATTAATTATAATTTATAAATAGATGACACGGTCTTTGAAAGAAATTAAAGTGAATGCATGTCAGTCTTGGTTCTTTTTTTGAAAGCAGAAAAGCTTGCTTAAGAAAAATGAATTGCAATACTCAAACCTAATTAACCCCAAAGTGTGCAAATGGTCCTTCAAAACATAGCATTTTCCATGAATATAGGATGCTTTTAATTGGACTGTTTTGAGTCTTAAACAGACTTGACACGAATAATAGTTTCGCAAGGATGTGAATAAGTAGCTTATCAACTTCTTTTGGATAATCAGAACAAAAATATTTAAATCAATAATAATAAAGCAAACCAATATTAGGTTTGCATGTTAACTATCAAGCCAGAGTTATTCTAATTGTGGACCATGTAAATTCTTATTCCCTAGGAATTAGAATCTTATTTTAATACAGATTAAACTATTTAAAATAAAAAAAGGAAATATCATATAGTTTGCCTTATCATGAACAGCGAAAAAGGCAAGCTATATGACAATGAACTTTTAAACCTACTCTAGCAGAAAATTACTAATTCTTCTCAGTAGAGTCATTTATGAAAATCCAAGAGAATTCCTAGTTGCTATTATGGGCGGTGTCAAATCCGGACAATAAGGGACCTTTTGGTCAAGATTGCCAGATTGGGTTGGTCAAATCCCATCAATCCCATGATCAGATTATTTTGGGGAAAGTTACCGAAATAGGACTAAAAAAGTTTGAAATTTCCAAAATAGGACTGTCATGTTTTTATTCCCAAAATAGGACTAATTACTGCCAAATTTGGAAAATATTGCCATGTTTGAAGTCTGGTACTGCCAACACATGGCAGTAATAAGTCCTATTTTGAGAATAAAAACATGGAAGTCTTATTTTGGAATTTGCAAACTTATTTAGTCCTATTTTGGGTAATATCTCATTATTTTGTTACCTGAATCAAGTACCCCACTCTTTTAGGGTTTGTTTGCAAACACTATAAAAAAAAAAAGCGCTTCCCAGCTTTTGGCTTAAAAAAGCTAAAGAGTGTCTTCAAGTGACAACTTTTACTTAAATTAACACTTAAAAGCTAAAAGTTAGAATTTGCTTTTTACTTTTTCTATTACACAAAAAGCGCTTATTTTACCAAACACTACCAACTTTTACTTTTCAAAATCACAATTTTCTCAAACACTACCAACTTTTACTATTAATCATTTTTTCCCTAATCACTTAAAAAAGTTCAAAAGTGCTTGTGAGTAGTGTTTGCAAACAAACCCTTTTACTAGGAATTGGAATAATCAAGACTAAAGGAGTAAAAGAACCTACGTGTTCACATTCATTAATGGATAAACCTTCTGCTCTATGAATTTGTTGATCTAACACCTTCAACATTGTCACAAGAATATCTACTTGAACCAAATGTAGCACTTTTTTAGTTCGGACTATCACAATCTCATTTACAAGCCCTCTAAGATCAGCAACAGACAACGGTATCCACTCTGCTTCCTCCCTCTCATCATCATTTACTTTTGCCTTCCCACAAAGGTCTTCCAAAATCTTATGGAAGCTTGTTACTACAGCATCTGAGAAGAAGAAAATGCCTACTTTTAGAAATGTAGATATTTAAAATCTAAAAAGGAATCAAATATATACAGAACAATCTATAACCTTGATTAGCAGAAGCATTAGAACCGCTTGGCATTAGAGTCTCATCATTTGCTTTCTTCTTTCCCCTTACTTTTCTAGAAGATGTAGGTGCCTCCTGCAGTTAATTGCTCAGGGTTTTGAGAGCATAAAATAGCTATTACTTCATATGTCCCAATATGACATTCCTATTTCCTGCTTCTCTTTTTGGGCCATCCCAAAGTTCGTCTCATTTCATTTCGCGGACCGAATTGTATAGCTTCTATTAACCCATTGATTCTAAATAAATCTCAATCACACAAATTCACTGCCTAAAAAGCAATGTAAAAGTAAATTGGAAGAATATTAAGTGGGCAAAATTAAACTCACATTACGAAGATAATCATGCTGATTATAGTGAATTTCTGGAATATCTCTCTGCGGTTGTTCAAAGAAATGTCTACTCCCAAATTGTTTAGCATCAGTTGATTTATTGTTTTGTGGAGGCTCCTTAGAACCTGAGAAACTTGAAGAATGTATAAATTATAGGGCCACGAAGTATAAAAACATACATGCAGAAGTTATTTACTTTTAGCCTAGTGCTTAAATAAGATTTATAGGATTCAATCAAGATAAGAAAGATTGCAAAAGTAAACCCCGTATCAAGCGAAAGTATGGTTAAAATTAGTAATTATAAACATTTTGGATAAGGAAAACACTTGCCAACATTGTGCTTACATAACTTAAACATCAAACACATTAGCTGCTTTCAAATTTCAAACCAACTAATCACCTTTTCAGAACTATAACAGTTTCTATCAATCATTAGTACAAGATCAAAAAACAACTGAGATTAGAATAATACATACATACATATATATATATATATATATATAGAGGGCAGTTCACATCAGGAACTCCTGATGAGAACCCCCGTACGGACAAGCCCATCAGAGGGTCTTCCCGGTGGAATTTTTTGATGAAATTTTTTGAGCATGTTCCTCATCAAGTCTAGTTTGTCCATACCAAATTTCAGCTCAAAATTCGATCGGGAAGGCAGTCAAATAAATCCTGGAAAAATATGGTGCATTCTGCGCACATATAATGTGCAGTATGTTTCCAGGATTTATTTGACTGCCTTCCCGATTGAATTTTGAGCTGAAATTTGGTATGGACAAACTAGACTTGATGAGGAACATGCTCAAAAAATTTCATCAAAAAATTCCACCGGGAAGACCCTCTGATGGTCTTGTCCGCACGGGGCTTCTCATCAGGAGTTCCTGATGTGAACTGCCCTCTATATATATATATATATAGAGAGAGAGAGAGAGTAGCTTTCATATCAGGCCGGGCAACTCCATCTTGGTGGAAAATGAAGTTTATGATCCAATTTTTTTATTCATTAGTTTAAACTATTACTTTCAATCGCTTGATTAACAAAAATAAATAAATAAATAAATTTTCCGAGCTTATATGTGATTGTTATGGTAAAATAATATTAACAGTTACATAAGTGTTACTGTGTTAGAGGTGAAAAAGTCAGGTTGAAGGGCCCACTTTCAAACAAAATTAAGACCTAACAAATGAAACTAATATTTTTTACTAATGAATAAAAAAATGAATTGAATACTTCATTTTCGGCTAGAAATGGAGTTGACCTGACGAGAATCCTGACATGAACGCTACTCTATATACATACATATTGTATAGGAAAGAGTTGAAATCAAAAGAGGTGCTCCCGTGCAAAGTGAAAACGGTATCACTTTTCCCTCACCGCGTTGCACTATTGCATGTTTCTGTTGCACTTTTTCGTGGTGGCAAAAAACTTCGGTTTATTTACGAAATTGCCACTGCGTTTTTTTAATCAAATTTAGTGCATTGTTGGCTCATTGTGGGCCATTAGATCTGGAAATGAATGCACAAGATTTATTCTCACTTTGCATGGGAAGACCTTTTTGTATTTGAACTCTCCCCTATACACACAAACACACACACACGCACACACATAGATATATATGCTTCATAAGTGTTTACCACTTTACCTCAATTGCATTACATCTAGTTAGCTAAAGTAAAGCCAGGGAGGGAAGCAGCAAATAAAAATGTTAAATTATACTCCATAGTATAAGCAATTTTACTTGGTCATAAAAAATGGGACGATATATATATATATATATATATATATATATAAAGAAAAATGGCTTAGTCGACCTTGTTACCTGGAGCTCTGCAATCAAATGCTTCAGAATTGCATCTAAGAACTACATCATGCAGATCAATATGCCCTACAGAGCCACACGGTTGAGGAGCCACATCAGCACGAAGATTCCTGCAAATCCAAATGCCATGATGTATATAAAGATTGTCTTTTGGTTATTGTATTTTGTCAGGATGGCCTCTCCGCAATTGTTTTTGTTACTTTTAAAAAAACTCCCATCTACTTTTATATTAGTGTGTTCTCTTGTTACCATTATCAGAAAACTTAATCTATAATAACTTTGAGAACATGGTAATTTTGAGTTGTTCATCAGCAAGCCATGTTAATTTGAAGTATGTGTTAGTCAATAAAATATCAACAAGACATATTCGCACCACTCCACTACTCAGGGAACATCCTTGAACCATCAGTGGCCCCGTGTTTAACACATTATGTACATCTACCTGGATAAATCATGGTTCTGTGTGTATAGGTTTATGGCATATTGATGGAAAGAATGTGTACTGATAGCATATAACCGCATTATCAAATTACAAATCCCCCAGGCACAAAAGAGATGGAACACAGGCACACAGCCAATTAGATAGGTTTTTACATCATTTTTTAATGCAGAAGAAAAAAGCCTAGTCAAGGCAGATAGATTGACAGAATTGAGAAACAAACTCTCAATTTAACCGCATAAAGATACTAATTAAGCAGCAACTTTCGTAGATGAAATAATTCCTTTGATATCTTTTGATCAATTATCCATTATAGGTCTTTTTCCAGGCAAGCAAAATGTTGAGGAGGTCAAATTCCTTTGAAAGGTCATTCTGCCAAAGTCCTTCATATTTTTATTAAAGGGGCTCAACGATTTCTTGATATTTTTAAAGGGACCCCCTAATACAACATAATGAGAAGCTCACAACATCCTTTTCATTTTCATTTTCATTTACCCCAGTGCCACAAAGGCTCCCACCTACGGTGGGGTAGGGGGGGTCGGATGTACACAGTCTTACCCCTGTACTAAAGCACAAAGAGACTGTTTCCGGATGACCCATAGTGAAATTCGTGTCCAAAATTCCACAACATCCTTTGAGTAAAAAAAAATCACTAGTATAACACAAATCTCACAAATTATAGCACTTGAGATAGTATTAAGTAAACTGGGGTCTAGTCAGGAATCAGGATATAGTCATTTTAACTTTTCAATTTAGGTATCCTCTATTGCAAAATAGATTTCCATTAACAAAATGTATTGTGTTCCTGAACAGGTGTCCTTATAGAATTCAGTAAAGTAAAAACATATAGAGTTGTCTTAACATATTTATTTAAATTTTGCTTGTTTTTAATACTTATAAATCAATAACAATATGTTTGTCGACTTTTAACAAAATTAGTGATCTCCTTAAAAGCAAACTCTTCTTTGGAGTAGTTCTGACGTAGTCAACTACTCATGTTTTGATGAGGTACATGGACCATAGTCATTTCTTAGCATTTTGAGTTTTATCAAAAGTACTCTCCACATCGAGTACGGATACATGAAGATAGAAAATGAACCATCTTGCATGAGTGAACTCGGGAGGAAAAAAGTACTACGGTCTGCATTTACCTAGGTTTAATTCTGGATTCACTTAAGATAGCTTCTAAGAGCCTCCTCCCATAACCTAGTTTTGGAAAACCTCAGAAGCGGAGGGTTTCGAATGTAAGTTCTCTTTATAAGTAATGTTAATACATTCACCAATCTTGACCTCCATCGAAACAAATTTTTACCTTATTGACCTAGGTCAGCATAACATCATCCGAACAACGTTTTTATATGTGAACTTGGGTTCATCCACAATTTACTACACCTAGGTTCAATTAAATTCACTAGATTTACTTAAGTTCACTGATTCGCTCTATATAAACAAAGTTCAGAAGTGTTGGCTAATGCTATAGCTTACCCCTATCTTAACAGGAACTCTTTTTTATTCACTAGTGGATTAAAAATCGGTTACTTCTGGTTGACAACGGATGTCTAGATACCAGAGCAAACTGATGACGTTATAATACACTTATTCATCTCAATTTCACTTTTGTATAAAAGTACAAAATTTTATTCATGAACACTGTTTGCGACCTTGAACGTGCTAGTAGTGCACGCTAAGACAGAGTTTTAAGTCTCACTGACAAAAAATCAGAGCCTTGATCCAGGAAAACAGAACAGCATATAAGTCTAACTCAAATTTAGCAAGAGGATCTATCAAAAACTTACAGATAAGATAAGTCAGTGTTCCGAAGTATATCAGCAATCCTGCTAGCCTGGTTCAGGACCTCTCTCCGATTTAATGATCTCGGCTCGCTCTGCTCACTGGATAACCGTAGCTCCTGCTCTACAGCTCCGCAGCACACCGGCAGCGACGGTAACGGCAAACATGGCGCGACTTCCGAATGAACTATGCTGGAGAGGGATATGCCGCGGGGGATGCCGCCATTTCTACTCGAGCTCGACATGGAATCAATTATGTGCTTGGTGATAAACTGCTTATTGATTACTATCAGCAGACATTTACTTCGAAGTGCTGGACAATTCAAACTCTGACCGTTGGGATTTGAGGAATATCTAGTAACTGTTCCGAGGAGAGAATAATTTGAACCAAAAAAGCCCTAGAGAGAGGAAGCAGATAGATAAACAGCAAATGGCGGGGAAAGTAAGTAAAGAGTTGAGTTGTCTTCAAGGTTTGTACTGTACTTTTGGTTTTATAGTATTTGTTCGAAATTCGAATGGCCTTCAAATAAAAGAAATAAGGATCATTTTGAGAAATATAGAGAACATTTTCTTGTGTTCACTTTAATTTCAGAGACATAAAATAAAATTAAAAACCCTCCTTAAAAAGATTCCATGTAAGAGACGAGTTTAAGTGAGTTTATGAGTTGTCAAGCACCTTATGGTTCGATGACATCGTTGTGACTCTCCCAAGGTGGATGTCACAGGTTCGAAACTCATCCTAATAAAAAATGTTGGCATTTAACAGAGCAGATATAAAAATAAAGAAAGTTCAGCCAAAAAAGTGAGTTTATGACTTTACTTAAACTTATTCAGACCAGTTCAGACAAGATTAGATCAGACTGGACTTCGACAGTTGTAAAATATATAGAGATCATATATTTACCTCATCTGACCAAATAAAAAAATTCAGTCCAAGTAAAACATTTTGAGATTTGAGTGATTTTTTTTAAAAGATTCTAATAAAATCTTTTGGAATCATATTTAACAAAATTATATGAATTCCAATGCATTTCAGTAAATGGTCTCAAAACATAACTTAATCATTAAACAGAAATAGAAGGCCTATAATCTTTGTCTTAATCGTGCTCTTCACTATATTCTCATTCTTTTTTTTCATTGTATGAGCTTTAGTCAACGATTTAATTACTCTATTTAAGTTCCCTTTTCCAAAAACTAAAGAGAGAGAAGGCCTATAAGCATTCGAATGCAAACATTACCAAAAAACAATAAAAGCCCATCAAGAGTATACAATCATAAAAAAGTGTACAATAATGCGTCTACCCCATATTATAGCTATTATTGTGGAGTGTTAATTGCTCCAATATAATTCTAATGATCAAAATATGTTTGACATAGTATTTACATATAATTATAAATAAAAAATAAGAAAAATGTGCTAATTAAGATTAATGCATATTTATCTTAAAGACGGATAAAATAATGCACTCTCAGTTTGACCATCACGTTGGATGCATTTGTGTTTAAGATGTTAAGGCCTTCAAAACCTTGTTAGTGTCTCCGCCTAGAAGTTAAATGTGCTTTATTAAAGTCTTTTGAGTAACACAATAACAATTATTTTGACCAGGTGAAAGTAATAATGTTGCAAACAATTCTTCAAAACAAATATATATAGTGTGTATTTATGGTATGGAGACTCTCTTCCTACACATCTCTCTAGATTCTAGACTGCTCAATATCTTTAGTTAATACTTCACTCATGTACTTAAAACCATTGGCGTTGATTCGTTTGTGAACCATGCGTCAAATATACCTGTGCCACAATGTATATGCAATATTAAACCATTGAATGCTTAGAGTGTTTCTTGAAGTGCTAATAAAATTGACTATATTGGGTGATGGTTTGCTTTCTATAAATGTCTACAAAGCATTTGTAAATACTCTTATCTTCTATTAAGCAAATGTTAATACATGCTCCTAACTTTGACCAAGCAATCTAAATACAGAAACAACACAAAGAAAGGGTTCCAGAGCGAGTGAACCAGGGTTTTAAAAACATTTTACTCCCACTTTTCCATCAGTATTGTGAAAAACATAAATCATTTACTTGTTATTTCTCAAGAACTTGTATTTTGAAGTATTACATACATGAGTGGAGAAGTATATGTATACATGAAGTACTCCGTTATATTTATTATAACACATGTGAAGAGAAAGTCTCCTAAGAGAAGTATAATCTTGAAGGAGTGTTGAGGTGATTTGGGTATTCTATATGATGCTTTTGCTTGGGAAGGATATTATGGAGATCTATGCTCTTCTTTCTCAGGGATGAAATTATTGGCCATGTCTCAGAGAGTGAGATGAGGATTCTTACCTTGACGGTACAGGCTTTATGGGATTCTGATTCAAATAAGAATATTCGTTACAAAGCTTTGCTCGTTACGCAAGGAAACTATTTGCCTACACATAACCTAAACACTAAAAATGGCCGTTTAGATATAAGAATCGGCGTTCACATCACATGAGAACCAGATCTCAAACAAAAGTGGAGATTTGAAGATTTGGTTGAGTGATCAAATTTACTAGGGAGCAGCAGAGAGTTTTACTTGTGCTACTTTGGGTTAGTTGGGGTTTCCTTTATGTTTGTTGCTTGTTGTTTTTGTACTTTTACATGCTTATTTTTGATAAAACTTTCCTTTCTTTGAAAAGAATGAATTGACGGCTGATAGGGTTTATCAATCTTTTACGCATTTGGATTCTTGAGGATGAGATGGTTGGTGGAATTATGTGGTGTAACTTTTAATACATAATCTTTCAAAGTCGGGGCAAATTCAAATGAATGAAAGCTTGTGAGGATGACACTGAGAGCCGCATACATAAAATCTCCGGCTTATCAACTTTATGAGTATTATTTTGACATTGTACATTACATAGTAGTTATTTTTACGAAGTACTCCCTCCATCCATTAAAACTTTGTCACTTTCCTTTTTAATCAATTATTTTGTGGTTCTGTTATTTCTATCTCCTCTGCACAAACCTCAACCATACAATTTTTACTTTATTATTCTCTGTGCCGGTCAAACTTGACAAAGTTTTAAGGGACGCATGTAGTATTATATACCGTGTGTGTATATAGAGAGAGAATTAGGGAGTGTTTGCAATTGCTTCAACTTTAAAAAAGTGATTTTTTAAAGTGATTTGGGGAAAAATGATTAATAGTAAAAGTTGGTAGTGTTTGAGAAAAAAGTGATTCTGAAAAAGTAAAAGTTGGTAGTGTTTGGTAAAATAAGTACTTTTTGTGTAATAGAAAAAGTGAAAAGCAGTTTAAAGCACTCTTCCACCTGCTTCCAGCTTTTAGTTTTTAAGTGATTAATTTAAGCAGAAGCTGTCATTTGAAAACACTCTTTTTAACTTTTTTTAAGCCAAAAGCTGAAAAGTGCTTTTTTTAATCAACTGCAAACACTCCTTTAGAATCGAATGACAACACGATCTAAGGATAGAAATGGGAATGAATCTAGAGCGTTAGATTTAAAAAGTGTGCATTATGTGAAAATGTGTATTACCTATAAACTAGAAAATATGTGGTGACATTTTAATCATTAATGTGCACCTCCATGAGCCAGAATGTGAATCATTTTGGATCTTCACATTTTGGACCATATATATGATTTTGATATTGTTCGAATCGAATATAATAACATTATAACATTAGTATTTGTATTTTTGAAAACTATTTGAAGAAAAAACACATTTATATAATTATATTCATAATCATATTCTATTTATTCAACTTTGAACCCACATTTTCAAATTTGAATAGCGAATTAAATCAAAGTTATTCTTCAATTACAACGCTATTTATATGTTTCAAATAATATTTCCTTTTTAATGCATTTAATAACTACAAAAGTTACAACCGAGACCGGCCAATTGACCGAAATCAGCCCAGAATTGCAGGTTCCAGTCCCAAGCTCCATATAAATATTTCAGGACCAGGCTGTCCGGGACCAAACAAAACAATATCAATGCCTAGTGATACCCAATGCAACTTATGCAAGATGAAAATCACGCAGTACAAAAAACGTTCTTTTGGTACTGATTTTATGAGCAAAGACTTCCATGCCAATGTGGGCTCAGAGTTTCTGAAAAAAGACAATGACTGCATATGCATAACACTAGCAAGGTTGAAGCTGTGCTTAGAAAGTTTTTTGCCAATTTCCTGCAATAAGTAATGGCAGCTCCATGATTCGTGCCTACTTAGGCACGGTTCCATGTCCTAGCAAAATAGTTGTCCCCAAATACATTAAACTTTGGGACGGATCTCAGCTCCCATCATTCGGTTGAAATACTAGTAATCAAGGAGAAAGGAGGCAAAGCTTAATCCTTCTCGAGCACAAAACATGCAAAATCAAAAGTGCAGAAGAAATAGAAACAGGAAGGGAGTATATGTACACACCCTACCTGCAGAATAGTACTAAAGTATCAGCACTCTATTAGTAAAAAAGTGTAAAAAATGCAAGTTTTGGAGACCATGTATGAGCTCCCCAACCCCTTTCTATTTTATTATCATTGTTTATTATTACTAATACTACTACTATTATGTTTCACACTAGTTGCACAATAGTGCTAAAGCATCCACTCTCTTATCATACATTCGCACCAGAGATCCATCACTACTGAACATCCACCACACACGCTACTATAACTACATATATATCAGAAGTAAAAACACCTAGACAATGGAAATGTGGTATATACATATTCACCATCTGAAATGAAATGATTCAGATGCATGCTTGCAGCGTTTCACCCATGGATCCTCCATCATATATTAAGCTCACAGAGTGACTCCTCGTCCAAACAGCCACCATCTCGAGCAAAGTCAGCAATCAACTTCACAACCGAGTGTGGTTCATCAACATGAGGGAGATGTCCACTATTTGGAATCTTTCGGCTTATGGCATTTGGTAGTTCCTTGCACAATCTCTGTGTCATAATATTCCACAAACGCTGTCAGATAATCTGGACCATCGGAGTATAGCATTTGATGCTGATGAGTTAGTCTATACCATTAATGGGCTTCACTATTGATTAATGAGTTCATTGATTACTTAGGAGGGACTAGGTCCATCAATGGTTTAGATTCCCTCCCTCCTGATCTGCTCAGACTATGAGAAAGGAATAAAGGATATAGGAGGCATCACTTTTTTTCTCCGTTTAAAAAATAGATGTGATTTTTTAACTCACCATTGCAAGTCCACTGCTGATTAACTTATCGCGCAAGCCCATTATGACTAGTGTTCTTTTATTCACCTGTCCAAGAATGTTAATCAGAACATTTAGCTTTAAGAAGCAAATATACAACAGATAGCGGCACAAATATGAATAGAAGGAAATATCAGAATAAACCGTGAAACCTATATCAGATAGCAGCATGATAGGAACCCATTAGTATAAT